TGGGCTGTGAGTTTGCATGTGGCTGTTTTGTAACAGTCCAAATCTCTCCTAAGTAAATAAAGCCAGAGTCCAGAGCGCAGGGGACCATTTGGTAATATGAGGTGACAGACTGTGGGTTATGTCACTGATGGGGTTCATTGTCTTTGTTTATGAAGTGGGTCACACTGCAGAAGATGGTCTTGTTCAGTGGTCTTTGGCAAAGGGTCCTTTGAAAGATAAGATATACGTTATTGAACCCACGGAAGAAAACGTTTGCATATAGCAGCGACGCACTTAAAGTGCTCGCAGCATCATAGCATCATGATAAATCAGTGTAAAGATGGTAAATATAGAGCAAACAATATTGTACATGAAATAAGCAAATATAGAAACATTAATAAGTGGTGTACATGCAATTTACATAGTAAAAGTTTGGTGTTAAATGCTGACCTGCCGTGCTGTGTCTTGGTATGAAGGCTGTAGCAGCAAGACCCAGGTAGGATAGGCATTGAATTCTAACCATAGTGCCTGTGTCTGTGGAAAGAGGAGTGAGTCATTGTCCACTTATGGATAAGAACGTGGTGACTTTAAGTCGGACAGCAGCTGCTTTTCCTATTGAGTATTTATGAGGTAATGTTGCGCCTCTCTGCCTTGTCAGCATTGTTTTCATGTCCTCCTGCTGGACAGGTCGAGGACTGATAATTAGCCAAGCAGATGTTTTCTAACTGACCTTTCAAGCCTGAATGGAATATGAAGTGAGACATGAAGTGGCTCAAGGCTGCGTTGGTATTGCGTTAATGCAGATCTGCTTGTACTCAGGCGGTAATGTTCGTACCATAACAGGCTGTGAATTAGCCCAGCAGCATCGTCAGACACACAGAACAGTTAACCTGTAAACTTATCCAGGCACCAGGTGGTGTTTTTGCAATTCACAGTGAGCTGTCAAGAACAGCACATTCACTGTACATTCATCATAGCAGAGTGTTAGCGGTAGGAAGGGGCTTCACAGGGCACCTGTAATAAGTGACATGGACATGGCTTCTGTCTCTTTAGTGGCAGTATACTGACTTTTCTTTATGTGGTTGTCATTGGCTTGGGTGGTATCCAGTTCTTCATGCTGTCATACTGTCTAGACATAATACCGTGGTATGCATTCAAAAGCAATTCTGTCTGCTATTTTAGAATCTCGGTGATAAAATTTGGCCCCCATGATAAATTTTGTTGAACAGCAATTTTTTTTGTGGGCACCCCCACCCTCTAATTGCAGAGATTGCAGAGATTTCAAAATACAGCAGCATACCCAAAATGGGTATAACAACTTGGGTTATGGTGAGCTGGGAGTGTACGCAGGAAACATAGGGATACCCTGGATGGGATGCCAGTTCTCTGCAGGGCACACACATTACACACATGTTCGCGCCAATTAGCCTGAGAGTCTGGAATGAGGCTGGAAACTTGACTACCTAATGGTAACCCCCGCAATACAACACACTTGCTTGTGACCTGTTATATCTCGTTAATTTAGCCTGATAATTCAGAATTAAAAATGAAACAAAGTAACTGTTTTGGCATATTTTTAAGCTATTTCGCCATAGACAAGCTGAGTCAGAACCCGAATGACATGTTTATTCTGTTAGAAGTACAGTGTTTTGAATGCATTATGTAACCTTTGAGTTAAGCTTCAGCGTTGATGTGTATAGTCCTTGTTTTAAAGGTCAGCTAATTCCCCCACCCCCAGAGTAGGCAAACCTGGTAAAACCTTTGCTGAATTGTTCTGTTTTCTCATATGCCTACTGAAAAGTGTCACAAATGGAAAGGGAGAAAGGAAATCTAATGAAAGTGACTTAGTCTGCATCTTGTCTTGGAAGATCCTGACTGTCTTGATTAGCAAAGTTGCTAATGCATGTAAAGGCAGAGATTCAGTTTGGTTGTGATATGAGCTGCTTCATTTGGGTTACGGAGGAAAGTCTGTGCTTCTGTGTTACTGGGTGTTTATGATTGTATTCCATAGCATTCTTCAGATGTGAAACTACAAGGAAAAGTGAAAGTTTATTTTTTTATTGTGACCTAGATTAAAGAAATGTGTATTACTGATGTTTAGCCCTAATGCAGACAGGCACATAATTGCTGTGTAACAAGTGGTTAATTTGAATTTATTAACTTATTATTTTTCAAGTGATAAAGCATGTCTTTTACACACATTCAGATGGATGTGTTGTTAATGTTCACTTTTGGCCTCCGTGATGGACCCTGTATAAGTTGTCATAGTGGGACACAAGATGCACTGGTGTGTTCAAATGAAGGCCGTTTCTGGAGGACTGGAGTTTCCCCATCAATCCTGTAAACTGGAGCTGAGCCTTCCCCGGATAGGAGTGAGCCACCAGCTCACGTGTTGTGTTCGTGAACATCAGGAGACGTTCCCTCTTTAATTCTCCAGGTCCTCCGCTCTCCCTGTGAGTTGTGGAGAGCTATTAATCAGAGTGAGCGGGCAGAATGCTAGGGTTGATGTGCTGGCTTCACGGCTGCTCCAGGATAGCTGCTGACCTGGGTGTCCTGCCAAGTATTTAATAGAATTCCTCCCTCTGTAAATCACTGTCAGCCATAATGGGAGCTGTCTAAGTCACCCAGTATCCATTTTCATGAAAGATTTCACCCCATCGTAGTGTCTCCCGTGAGAGTCAAAATGGTATTTGGCTCACAGCTATCGACTTCCGTGCACGGTATGGTGGCAGAGGTGCCTTTCACCATCCTAATGAGTTATCTGGGGTCGGCATGTTATCTGGAGGTGCAAAACATACAGAAATGAATTAATAAAGATGCTCTCTGGTCAGCAAACTAGTGTTGTATTTTTGGCTTGCTCAGCGATGCCGAAATGAAAAAATAGACGGAGAATGGGAAACGTCGTTTGGGATTAACTTATCTGAAATATAAACAGGTTTAGTCAAACCTCATTTCACTGGGAAACCTCTTGAGCAGAAGGATGCAGCTTGAATTGTGCCCAAATGGTAAGAAATGTCAATGCTATACATTTGCGTGGAGGAGGCTGTAAATGAATTGGAATGATTGATTTCCAATTTGTTAGATTGACAAAGATGGAGAAATATCTACTCCAAGCTCTGAATCGCTGTACCCATCTAGCTGTGAACTGATTCCATATTATGTCATATGATTTATTTGCAGGCTTGTGTATTTTTAATCCAAGCAGAAGTGTGCTGGTTTCACTAGCTTATTCTGTGCTCCCTTTTAAACAGCACAGTCTTTTAATTGTGGGGCTGGTTTCTGATCCACTCGTGACCAGGGTGACAAGGTCACACTTCTGCTTTCGACAAACTGCCCCAGCAGCGGCCCTCAAGCCCTGAACTTATACTATTGCACATTGGCCTGATGCCAAGATTCATTCGGCAGAACGTTCCAATTTTATCGCTCCTGCAGACAGTCGGTTGTGTAAGTATTACTTCAGCTGAGGAGCCCGATGAAGCTGGGAAATGCAATAGGCATCGTCCACCACTGTGAGTGAAGTGCTTAACAGCCATGATTAGCCATGGGTCAGCTCCCTGGTCACGCGATCTATTTCAGTACTGACTGGTAGAGGTCATGTTCCAGCACGGCATGTCAAAAAACCCCGAACACTTGTTCCGCAGACGGACAGAAAGTGTGCTGCCTTGGTCCCGTGTCACTGCAAGCCGGCCCCTTCCGAACGGGGGGCTATGCCATTACGCAACTTTGTTGGCGGCTAATGCTAACTGGAAGGAGCGCTTTGGCTTTATTGAGAGGTGTCAGGTTTCTGGGGAACGTTTGTGGGAGAAGAATGCCAGTCGCAGTAGTTGAGACTGAATGGGGGGACCCTCTTGACCCCACCTCGTATGGCTAATTGACATTTTATAACTAAGTGAGCAGGTGGTGAAATGTAACGAATACATGGGAACCAAATCGGTGTTCTTCAAGCCATCCAACAAGTTATCAGTACATTTTTGGCGAACAAGAAATTCTTGTTGTGTTATTCTTAATTTGCTTTTGTTCTCTTGTTAAATTGTGTGTTTTGTTCTCAAGAAAATTCAGTTACTATCCAAAAAAAAAAGCTTCAGACATTTCCCTTGGCTGCCTAAGACCTTTGCTTAGTACTGTATATGGTCAGTCTTCTGCTACCTTGGTTCTTAAAAATAATAAAAATGCTGTAGTAGTATAACCTGCCTGCAGTAATACACATTTCTTTAATCTACTAATGACAGTTTTACTGTCTGTCTGTCCGGGTTCCAGCTGCCCAGCTACTGACTGCCCTATTGTGGAGGCAGCAGGTAGCACAGTGAATGTTAGTGAATGCTACCAGTGTAATCAGTTCCTACTTCATACATTCATGTTGTGTGAGTGGCTTTTCAAGAGAGTTTTCAATAATGTCATGATTATTAAATAAATGCACAGCCCTTAGGGGCTGATATGCATCATGGACCCTCGAGGCTGTCGCTTATAAATGGCTCTGGGTCACATGGTCATAACGGGAAGGGTCGCCAACCCATCAGCTGATGGACCTCAGCTGTAGAAAGGGTAGCAATGGATATGGGTTTGCGTGCGGAGAGCCTGGGAACAATCTGGCCATTGAGGGAGAGCTTAAGATCCGCCTAAGAGCTGGGGCATGTTCACTGGTGGGGGGTGGGAGGCTTATCACTCTGCTCCTCAGTGTTGCCTGCCCTCTGGCTCCCGGTGCCCTGAGAGCATCTCTACTGTTATTGTGGGTCCCAGATATTATCCCTCCATTCACTAACCGATGAGTCACATGTCGCAAGCTGTGCAAACTGATTTGCTTGATGTGCCTGTGCTGTCTTTGTAGGCCTGCCGCGATTTCACAGTGCCTGTCGCCATTGCCGTGCCATTGCTTGGTTATGCGATCGTTTGGGACATCATTCTAACTCTGAGTGTTGGTGTATGTGCAGCACACTGCTGGCATAAACACAGGCGCCGCTGAGAGAATAACGTGTTTTCTTCATCGGCCCCCCTGTGATTCCCTGTGTCTCTTTCTCCCGCAGCCCAGAATGTGACGGTGGATGAGATCATCTCTGCCTATAGACAGGCCTGTCAGAAGCTGAACTGTAAGCCCATCCCTACGGTGCTCAAACAGATACAGGTAAACCTGCATTCCTGCCTCATTGTAAAGGAGAAATGTGCATGTTAAGGCTGGTGAGGTGTGTGAGCTCGTACACATGTGTGTGAAGATGCACACTTATGCATCCTAACCTCTTTTAGTGTGATTATTACTTCAGGGCTCATGCAAGATCACAGTTAAGACTCATAGTCTGGGTGTTTTTTCTTCTTCTTTTTCCTGTTCCTTGTGTGTGTCTGTGTGGTCCAGGTATACCTTACCTTATGGGGACCAGATGTCCTCACAATGTGATGAATACCCATTTTTTTACCTTATGGGAAACTCTGTTTTATAAAAAACTGTGACTGCAATGAAAAAACTAAAAATGCGAAAACACTTGTATTTTGTTTGGTTACTTATGGCTATGGTTAGGGCTCGGTAGGGGTTAAGGTAGTCATAGTTAGCATTAGCATTTCTCCCATACAAATGAATGAGGGGTCCTCAAAAAGATATGATTACACGACTGTGTGTGTGTGTGTGTGTGTGTGTGTGTGTGTGTATATGCGCGTGCGCACTTATGCTTGTTTGTGAGTGTGTGCTTGCACGTTGCCTGAGGTTGCCTGATTGTTGAATTAAAAACACACAGAGCTCTTGGAAGCCATATCAGAGCTCTTAGAGAGACGGACACTGAGGGCTCATCCTGGGCCAGCCGGATAGCCACTTCGGCTTCTCAAAGGAATGGCAGGACCTGTTGGCGAGTTTCAGGGGACCTGCTGGTGCCTGACCAGCTCCTGTTGTGGCTGTCTGGTTCGGAGCCTGATCCCCAGAACAGTATCCCTAAGAGGTCCTTTTCACTGTAGTTACCATGGACACCATGGACGGCTTCTGTCCCCTGGGCCCTAGGGCCATTGCTCCTGTCAGCGCACATCCTCATTACCTGCACACACTGCTCTGCTCGGGCTCTGTAAGGCTTGGCTGGGAAACACAATGCTTTTGTTTCGCTTTAGCTGCTCATCTAAAAATATTGCTTCTGAGGCCTGAGTGCAGGAGGAGTCTTCAGGTTAAAGGAGTTTTGAAGGTGTGGTGATATGCCTGTCATTTAGCTGTCTGAGCCTCCAAATCTAGTCTACTGTAGCACTCAGATACACACCCATACTTGCCCTTTCAACACATTTGTGTGCTTGCAAGCTTAGCCAGAATGCTCAATGTCAAAAGGACCGTCTTTCTGAAAAGGTCTAATAACTCTAGACTCATTACTCTGAAACTACACCTATTCATTATTGCACGTAATTTCCATGCCAATTTGCACAATCTTTCCTCACCGATTATGTGATTAGTTGTATTTCATTGTCTGGATCTTAATGTCCATGTCTTTAAATGACATATTTATATTGTTTATTTGTGTCTGTTTATATTTTATTAGTTTCTCGTTTGCAATATGACTATCAAGAGGAGATATTTCTCCTTTGCATATGACCCCATGCATCATCATGTGTCTGAAGCTTACCGTGAAAGATACTTTAACTTTTGATTTTGATAAAACGTATGTGATAAGGTGCATTGATTTTTCTGTAACAAGTGACTAGTAGCTAAGTGGGACAGCTGTCTTGTTTACGTCTGGTTTAGTGCCACTGAGGTGAGTCAGGGAATCTTTCCAGTAGTAGACAGAAGTGTCCCTACTCCCCCCTCGGCAAGACAGCACAGAGAATCTGCATATTTTAGTTACGCAGCACTCATACGTCACCCATAAAAGCAGGTTTCCCTGCATGCTGAATGACTGGGAGCCAATGTAGAGAAATGTTTGTTTGCCATGTGCATGAAGGACAAGCAGATTTCTAGTGTAACAATGCCCCCCCCCCCCCCCCCCCCCCCCCCCCCCCCCCCCCCCCCACTCTTTGTGGACACGGGACACCAGGGGGTTACTACAGACATCAACTGACTGCATCTTCTAATGCAAAAGTGCCCCGAGGAAGCTGCAGCTATCTCTGGTAACGGGAAGCAAAAATCCAACACGTCTGTGTGGAAAGATTCGTTGGACCTCTACCCTATTTGTGCTACTAGGACCAGAGAGGAGTACATTTCCACCAGGATTAGCTGACTGCAGTGAGCAGGACTTTCCCACTGTGTGGTTTTCACTGAGTCACGCTTAGAGAAACTGCCTTACAGTGAGACTTGTCAAGTGATGCGTAATAACCACAGGTGAGCGGCTTCACTTCTGAGACTATACTTAAGGTGCAGCCTTAACATGCAAAGAAAGAAGTCAAAATTAAAGCCCTCAGTTACGAAGTCTTGTAGTGTCTGGTAAGCTCATATGGGCTGTCACCCATAAAGGCGCTTTGTTTCGGTCCTTTAATAATAATAATAATAATAATAATAAGGATAGATAGATACATACATACATACATACATACATACATACATACATACATACATACTTTATTGATCCCCATGGGGAAATTGTTGGGGCGCCTAGGGAGCTGGGGGGCACAGACATGCTGAGGCTGGGTTTTGAACCGGCGACCTTGTGATTACAGGTACACAGGCTTAGCCCACTGAGCCACACGCTGCCACAAATAGATTTCATTAAATCTATAGCATTAGAACTCACTGCTAATTACTTATGATGCAATTTTGCATTTTGAGTTAGAGGTAAAAAAAAATGATTATGGAACAGCTCTGTTTCCCTTAGATGTCTGATTGCCTTTTGCCTTTAGTCTTTTATGTAGCTGTCTGAACGGCTTGCGAGGCATGACGCTTTTCCACAGATGTGTGTTGAATGTGAGAGAGAGACGAACGAATTGCGGTCGCGGCAAACCTGCGTATTTAGCGGCACGACGTCACATTTGTAGGCTTCAAACTGGCACTCAGAAGCTGTTTCAATGCACACACATACAGCAGCTGACTGGTCAGGGGCAGCGATGTCCAGTCTTTCAGTCATTGGGTGTATCCGAAATCGCACACTTACACAGTACATACTGAATTTCATCAAAAGCCTACTACTCGACCGTTAATGCAGTGTGTACTATATGTATGCTTGAGAACAATATGCATGCACTCGGACACACTGCAGTTACCCCCTTGTGTATTAACTGACCCGGATGTTTACCAATGAGGTAGCTTGACCCCTGTGAAACTTAAAAACTATCAGTGAAAAAGTACATGAAATCATCTTGTGTAACTGGGTTTGTTTTCTGTGTAAAATTGTACATAGACAACACTACCTCTGCTATCTTTGCTGCTCCGGTGGCCTTGTGGAATAGCATAACATCCATTGTTTGCACACTGTAGTACGTCAGCCAGCTACCTTTTGCCTACTGTCTCATCCATCCTGAGAATTCGGATGTATTGCTCACATTGCATACTATTTCTCCTACTACATAGCAAACAGGTCTGCAATTCCAGACACGCCCACTGTCTCTGTTTTGCATCCAAACCAGGATTGTAAAAGAATGAGCAGCCCTTGTAGGCTGCCTGCAATGCCTTTGTTAGGGAACGTGTACACGTCAGCCATTTTGTGGAGCTTTTCATGCTCTAGCTGTCACAAATCCGGGCCTTTTGAGGGTTAAAAACAAACAAAAAAATATCACTATTCAGGAAATTTGTACTCAAACTCCCATCAGCCTCTGCAAAAGAATTACAGAAAAGCCTTTTTAGTACCTACTACAACAACAACAACAAATTTATTTTTGTATAGCGCATTATCACAACATTACATTGTCCCAAAGCGCTTTACAGCATCCCCACCCAAAGCCCCCAGTGAGTAAGCCATAGGCGACAGTGGCAAGGAAAAACTCCCGAGAAGGAAGAAACCTTGGGAGGGACCAGACTCAAAGGGGGAGCCCATCCTCCAGGGGGCAGCAGAGGGAGTCCTAACCCTAACCAGACTCAGAGGGGGAGCCCATCCTCCAGGGGCCGGCAGGGAGAGTCATATACAGTTGCCCCTAGATGGCAGCGCACATAGCGGAGCAACACTGTAGGGTAAAGGAAGCTGTCATCAGTTTGCTGCTCTCGGGGATGTACTTGGGCTCTGTGCAGCACCTGTGTGAGCTCGATGACGGTTTAGGTGGGATGCAGATGTCACCCTCTCTTAGCTAAGAGTCATACAAGTATTTTCAAAGCATTATGTAATGCTGACAAAGTTCTGCTGCTACATAGAATACTAGCCCACAGCATTTGAATTTGATCCTAGCCATGATCATTTTCATCCCCATTGGGTAATGTTTTCTTCCAGCGAAAGATAGGCATTGTATGAGAAAATGAAGTATTTTACATTTATATTAACTACCTAATCCAGCTACCAGTGCTGGCATGTTCGTCGTCATAATACCTGTTCACACCCAGTAATTGCTCCTCCGCTGTTCCTGGCACAGCGGCCTGCGTCATTCACTTGCTGGTTCTCGCCACTTTTTCCTGAGGCTACCTGCCACCTGCTGGTACCGTGCAGTTTAATCCCTTCGCATCTGGTTAATTACCCTGAAATAAATCATTTCAGCTAGTACTTTTGTATGCTCCCCCCAAGTCGCGTGCACACACACACACACACACACACACACACACACACACACACACGCTGGGGGTGGGGGAACTGCGATCGAGCCCACATGCTTCTCTGTGTGGGCATATTGTTGGATATAATCTGTTTTTTTCCCCCTGTTGGTATCAGCCATCCACCTACTCCTCTCTCAGCGAGTCCTGCCCCCAGGGCAAATTTTGAGGCTCTCTTGTTTGATCTGGAGCCGTAAAGGGGTCTAATGTCCCACTTCGTCTGTGTGGTCTGCCTCAGAAAAGCGAGTCTCTGTGATGGTCTGCAAAGTAACCAGTGAACTCTGACCTGCAGTAATTTCTGGCTTCTGGCAGCCCTTCTGAACCTCTCTTAGCTTCGTATTTGCCAGTCTCAGTTGACTTCTGGTGTTGGATCAAACACATTTCTGTGTTTGGTTAATTGAGTCGTGCTTGACTTCATGTGTATTATGTTTTTTACCCAGTGGTTTGTTAGTATTTTTCTTTTATAATCTGCCCTTGTTTTGCTGCGTTTATTGCCTGCGTATGCATGACGTTTACCACCACTTTCATGTAAAGACAAATCCCTGAGGTCTGAGGATTTGAAGCAGCTTGGTTTGTTTGTTATTCTAGCAGTCAGTCAGTTTTATAGAGTTTACCTCTGCAGGTGACCGAAGATGATCTTTAAAAACAGACAAAGCTGGCAAAGCTGGGAAATCTGAGGTTGTAGAAGCTCTGCCTAAATGTGTGACGTTAAAACACCAACAAGCCACATGCCCACATTACAGTTCTCAGAAGTGAGGCGTTGTGTATCTCGAGCCACTGTCTGTCTCTTGTGCAGAATACATGGTTTCCCACAGCAGTTTCAAAGTGACACTTTTCCGTTATGTTTTAGGAGCTCAAAGATTTGACTCAGAGGAATGACTGCTTGGACCTCAAAGGTGAGATTACATTTTACTTTTGTTTATCTGGTGAATCAGAGGCAGATAGTACAGATCATGTGTGGTTTCTGGGGTTTAGAGTTAGTTGCAGCTATGCACTTGCAAGCATAACAGGCCAGTTTTAGGAGGAACTTTTAATTAAAAAATAAGGTAACTTTACTTGTGGGGCCACAAATTATTTAGTAACTCGGTTACTACTCAAGTACAAATTGTGCACATAGTAACTGCATGAAATACATGAACTTTTGTGATTAATGACGAAAGAACATAAGCTCAGTTAGTGTCTGGTTAATTAACACCTTAAGTAAAATTGTACATTTTTTGTGCCCCTCGAGTAAAGTGTTACCAAAAATTAAATGTAAAAATGCGCATTTCTGTGCATATCTGTACCCTTTATTAATTCTGTTTCATTGTCTATATATTTCACTTTGAGTGCACCCAGGTAACAAGAAATTATATAAACTGCCTTTTTTTTTTGTTAAGAAGCACTTTTAGTAATGTCATTATAAAGAAAGGTTTATACTGTATTGATTTTCTAAGTTTGCCATGTGATGCTTATGAGCACTGACTCATCCCATCTAGGTGAGAAGCTGGACTACAAGGCTTGTGAGTCCCTGGAGGAGATTTTCAAGAGGGTGCAGTTCAAGCTAGTGGTCCTACAGCAGACCAACCTGGATGAAGATGTGAGTGCTTCGTCTTCTCAGACACCTACTGGGAGGCCTGTAGTACTGCGCCAACTTGTCAGATCCGAAACGCTTTGGTTTTTCATGTCTTGTTTATGCATTAATGCTTTACTGATACTAATTTCTCATCTGTCATACGTCATATGGACATAGGAGCTGGTCATGAGATTTTGCCCACAAAGCTGTTGTTTATCAACCTTAATCCTTCTATTAATTATGTGTGGTTTGTGTACAGAGAGTGGTCAGAGAGCTTTGTGCTGTCATCGACGGCTTTCGCCGTAGGTATCAGGAAGGGATGGCCACTCTTGCGGCCACATTGATCATCAAATTGGGTTGCGTGTTTCTACTTCGTCGTTTTGCGTGATCTGGGAGCGATTTGTTTAGTTATGTGCATAACCTCAGTCCCTGAAGAGATGACAGGCTGCCTTTGTGACACGGCTGCGAAAGAGCCTTTTTCCAGATGAACATGGAAAAATGACTAATCAGGACCATTTTCTGTGTTTATGACATGGCATAGCCCATACATCCCCTTAAAGATTTTGTTTGTGGGGGTTAAGGGGATTATAGGATGTTTCCCTGCAGTACCATGCTGTGTTAATTACAGGAATGTTCTCTGGTGCCGTCGCTCACAGAGTCTCGCTCGCCCCCCTTTTCCAGGGTGCCTCGGCTCTGTTTGACATGATCGAATACTACGAGTCGGCCACCCACCTCAACATTTCCTCCAACAAGCACATCGGCACGCGGGGCTGGCAGGCTGCTGCTCACATGATGAGAAAGGTGGGCCTCGGGGGACCTGCAGGGCGTGAAAATCTGCTTCTGTCCCAATGTTTGTGCGTGCGTGTGTGCGTGCTTTGGTAGCTCTCACTTTACACAAATCCTGAGTAGAATGAGTCATGAAATCCTGAGCATCTTTGTGTCGTTTGTCAGTATTCAGCTCTGTTCACAGAAACTAAAAATCCCAAATGGCAGCTGGGCCTTCAGGCCGGTTACTGATTTGCCGTTTATCTGTGGCAAATGCACAGCTCTCCAAGGTTCACCCGTCATGCCCTGTTATCCTCTATGGCTTCTGTCCTGATGAAGCAAGCCCTGTTTCAGCCCAGACGAGACAGATTTTGGGCATAATTCTATACATTTAAGACTGCTAACTAAACCAGCTCTTTATTAAAGGTGATCAATTTGTCAGCTCAGTCCTCTGATTTTCCTTTATTTTCCTGCTAAAGCTGCTCTGTATAGGTATACCATATATGCAACTTGAATACAAAATGCCGCAATCTGTTGCTCATGCCTGGTTGCTTTTATTTGTATTGAAGAGGAAAGAACAGAGATTTGTGCATCTATAGTCAGGGATGCACATAACTGGTATGCAAGTACGCATTCACCGCTAAAAGCGATACGTGCGGCAATCGATTGCTGTAACAGCGCAAATGCCTTTGTGCTGCTTTGACAAGAAATTACTGTGAATTTCAACCTTTGTACTGTGAATGAAATACGAGTTAGGAAGGTTAAGATGCATGATAATTTCTTGTCATATTAGAGCAAATGCACATAAACGCATTTGCACTGTTAGAGCAATCATTTGCTGCATGTTTCACTTTTAAAGGTGAATGGGTACTTGAGTACTTGCGTCCCTGTCAATAGTGATGTCAGAACACATGGGTGGGTTGAGTTTTAAACTGTGTACACGCCCCTCTTTTCACGCATGTCCTTCCCTTAGACGAGTTCCCTGCAGTACCTGGATGCCCGCGACATGCCGCTGCTGGACCATTCGGCACCATTTGTGGCCCGGGCACTGCGCATCAGCGGCAGCCTGGCGGTTCTGCACCTGGAGAATGCCGGCCTGTCCGGGCGGCCTCTCATGCTGCTGGGTGAGCCCCTGGTGGCCTGGGGAGGGGGATGGACTGTAAACATCATGGATCTGAGTGATCATCAGTGGTGTGATTCTTTATTCATGCTTAGAGCTCCACCTGCTGGTCACTTAGTGTATATTGATTTTTGAGTTGGACATAGAGTAAATGAGCTTGGTGTCAGTGCTGACAGGCTCTCAGCAGTTTGCCGATGCATAAAATGGCGGTCCAGATACATTTGTTGCTTCAGTTTATTTCTGTTAATTATAATTTCTTTTTTGTTTTAAAATATAAAAAAATGCAAGCAGTGGCATTTTCTTAAATGGTGGTCTGTTTAGTTTAGTATGACGATATTTAACCCCACATGCATCCCTCAGCCACAGCCCTGAAGATGAACATGAACCTCCGTGAGCTCTACCTGGCAGACAACAAGCTCAATGGCCTGCAGGACTCCGCTCAGCTGGGCAACCTGCTCAAGTTCAACTACAACATCCAAGTGCTAGACCTGCGCAACAACAACATAACGGACTCCGGTCTGTCTCTGTCTCTCTGGTCATGCATGGAAAAGCTGTCGCTGGCTCTTATCAGCCCTTTCATGTTTCTTGTTCCCCTGCATAGGTCTGGCATACTTGTGCGATGGACTTAAAGAACAAAGGAAGGGCCTGGTCACGCTGGTGCTGTGGAACAACCAGCTGACGCACAATGGCATGGGCTACCTGGCGGCCGCCCTGGTGAGCGCAGCCCCTCACACTCTATTACACAGACACACACTTGCTAATGTAGCGGCCGCTAGCCCTGCTCTCTCCATATTCCTTATACACACACGCTCTCTAGTGTAGCGGCCGCTAGCCCTGCTCTCTCCGTATACCTTATACACACACGCTCTCTAGTGTAGCGGCCGCTAGCCCTGCTCTCTCCGTATACCTTATACACACACGCTCTCTAGTGTAGCGGCCGCTAGCCCTGCTCTCTCCGTATACCTTATACACACACGCTCTCTAGTGTAGCGGCCGCTAGCACCGCTCT